CGGACCCCCGGGGGGGGGCTGCCGTTTGGCCGTGCTGGGGCTGGGCAGAAGGCCCCTCGGTGTCCCCTTGCGACAGATCGAGGCGGGGGCTCCTGGGGACCGCTCTGAGGGGAGGTGTGTGAGGGGCGCCCCCAGTTCCAGAGGAGGGGGCAGTACCCAAAACCAGAGGGCGCAGCACTGAGCCGTCTTTTGCCAGTTGACCAGTTTTATCTTGGATAGGACCACGTATTGGGAAAAAGGGTGGCGTAGCCACCATACAGGACTTTGTTTATTATGAGAGAGTCAAACCAGTACATAATCATTCCATCTTAACTTCTTTGTGTAGCTTGACTCTGCGGGACCGGTTAACGTCAAGAGATGTCAACTCCCCCTCTCGCTGGGGCAGGCATGCCGCCTGGTGCTTTCTCAGGGACACAAGCTCAAGCAGCTAGGGAGGTAAATACAGCTTCTCTCTGTCGAATTGGCCAAGAGACTGTGCAGGACATTGTATTTCGAACCATGGAAATCTTCCAGTTACTGAGGAACATGCAGGTGAGAAATAACTTTTTATGGTCCTCAGCTTCCCATGTTTTTCCCACCAACTGCCAGTATATGTAGGCACAGGGGATAGCTTAGGACATGTAAATACATAACTCGATCAAACTGCTTTGAAAAGGGGGGCTTGATTGGAGAAGTGAATACTCCTCTTAATGTATTTGCTTACTCCTGTACATTACGTGAAGATGGAGAAAATTCAGAAATGCTGAGTTGTTATTGCTCCCGCAATAAATACACTCTAAATGCAATTAATATCTGTGGTTTTCTTTATGAATAGTGAAGTCTGTTTATGTGCCGGTTATGTTTCTCTGTTTTTGTTAACATCTGAGGAGTAATTTTAGAGGAATTTTCATTGATCTTTTTCTGTAATGTTTTCCACATACAACTTTTTGACATTTCTTTTTGTTATTAAAGTGGACATAATCCTTATTCGTGGCTACTTACTGAGGAAACATACAAATAGTTGTTGTGTTTCTCTGCTGAGAGCAGAAGATAAATAATCATAGAATCCCAAGTTGGAAGGGACCTCAAGGATCATCTGGTCCAACCTTTCTAGCACAATCTAGACAAGATGCCCCAGCACCGTGTCCAGCTGAGTCTTAAACGTGTTCAGTGTAGCAGAGTCAACCACTTCCCTGGGGAGATTATTCCAATGATTGACTGTTCTCATTGTGAAAAATTTACCTCTCGTGTCCAATCGGAATCTCCCTGGGAGTAACTTGTACCCGTTACCCCTTGTCCTCACCATGTGACTCCTTGTAAAAAGGGAGTCTCCATCTTCTTTGTAG